AACCAACCCCTGCCACCATCTTCTGCCACAAGTCCATTGGTCTAATGGTCTATGTCATGGACTTTCATGTGGGAGATCAGGGTTCAAAACCCAGCTAACTCAACTTAAACAAAAAATCTCTTCAAACTTCATATTGTTACACAATTACCTTAATTACAAACACCTGCTGACGTGACAGGCACAAGCTGGTATAGCAAACACATTTGAACTTGGTCAAAGTTCATTCTGAAAGTCCACTGCTGCAGGCAAAGCCATGCTGCAATGACATGCTATTTGGCAATGCACACTTGTTTTTACATCGTAAAAACCCATGTCTAGTTCCTATTTAAAATCCTGTCGCACATTAAAACCAATCAAATCGTTACCATGGAGAATTATGAGTTCAGGATTCTTGAAGGAAAGCAAGAAAACATCTGTAATAGAAGAAAAAAATGAGTGTTTGATTGGATTGTCTAAATTTATTATTGTTTTAGGGACTAACAGCTCATGCATAATCAAAATCAAGAAGCTAAAAATTGTTAATAATTTTAAAACCTTTTAAGATTTTTAGTTGAACTTTAACAGGAAGTCTCTAAACGAAAGTTGTATTCAGGCGGGTCAGACTCAAATCCACACGGAAGCAGAAGATCACGTTAAGAAGAACTCATCAGAATTTAATGACCTGAATATTCATCATTTAAGCTCGTATGACAGCAGCTGTAATGAGAAATGTGTCTCTTTTCTGAGCTCGACCATGTTAAATTTAATTTTTTTAGATTATTTTTCAGGTTCTCTGCAGCAAACCTGGCTCAGTGTTTACTGCTGTGCTCTGAAGGCAACACAATGCTTTTTATTCTTTCAGTTGTGCTTTTTTTCTGAGAAATTACCAAGTTTAACGTCTGAATGAAGCAGCTAACCTATTAAAAATTCATTTTAATTAAAGTTAAAAGTCATGATTTGTGTGTTTGTTCTCAGTGAAGAGGCTGCTGCTGCCTGCACTTTTAGTTTGACCTTCTTCCAGCTTTTATAACTGTTAGTGGAAGCAAATACAGAAAATGCAGTGTGAATGCTTTGCGCTAAAAGACTTTTGCTGAAAGCTGCTAAAGACAAGCTGAAAAACATTTCTGCAGGCACCACTGCAGTTAAGATATATGAACATTTTAAAAGATTCTAAGGATCTTGCAGACACTGTCATTCATTTTCTGAAAAAAAAAGGAAGAAACTAATTAAGTCAAAACATTTAATCTGCTGAAGTCCCAAAAGTCACAGCCGAAATGTCCTGAAGGTGATTTTGATATATATATATTGTTGAAATAGCACAAAGCTGTGGAATGAGCTGAAAAATGTACTGAAGCAAACAGAACCTTGCCCGTGTTTTCCAGTACAAGAGCAAAATCAGCGACGAGCTGGACCTGAAGAGGCGGATCCAGTCTCTGGAGGAGTCCATGGAGCTCCACGAGAGGATGAAGAGGCAGGCGCTGGCCGAGTTCGAGAGCTACCGTCAGCGGGTGGAGGACATGCAGCTCTGCACCGAGGCTCAGGTAGGTGGGGGGTCTCAGGGGGGTCAGCAGCTGTGTGAGGCGCCGCGGCCCCAGCTGCAGATCATCAGCATCATGTTTGTTCCTGGGTCCAGCTGGGAGGCTGCAGACTCTCTGTTTGTCAACAACACTGGCTGGTTGTCATGATGTCCTGCGTTTTTTGGCTTTTTTCACATCAAAATGAACTTGAATGTGTTTTTGAGCTCGAACCAACATCTGCTCTGATACATCTCAAAGCCAAACATCCTGGTCTCTGGGGAACARGAAGGTTACAGTGCTAAGTGTGATGAACACTAACTGAAGCTAACACACACACAATAACAAGCTCTAATCCAGCTAAATGAGATGATTTATTTCTTAGCTAAATAAATGCTAATTTTCTGTGAKTTTCAGCTTGTGCAGCCAAATGAAGTGAGAAGCTTGAAAATGTTTGAAAATCTAAGTGTGTTCACTTTAACGCCTCATCTGCTGGTTAATTTTTTCTCACAGATCAGTGAGTTCAGACCCACTCTGTTGTATGAGGGGCCATACAACCCATTAACCACACTGCCACTCTCACATACCTATATTCTACCTCTCACATACCTATATTCTACCTCTCACATACATATATTCT